CCTGGAAGCTTTCCGAGACTTGCGCAGTCGGGGTATGGATGTCGAGGGTATATTTAGGAAAGAAGGGAACTGGAATAGGCTGAAGAATATATTTGTATGTCTTCCTTTTACACTTCTAACGTGCAGAAAATTTGTTTTAAAAAAAATTTTTCCGTTTTAATTCCCTGTTTTCAGCCGGTTTATTTTGGGTGTGTTGGAATCCCAAAGGAGTGCACTGTGCACGACATTTGCTCTATGATCAAAAGGTTCTTTCGAGAGCTGAAGACTCCGCTATTCGCTCATCTTGAAACAAAATTGATTGATGTAATTTTTAACGGCTTCAAAGTTGTTAAGGGATGTATTACTTTTTGAATATTTTGCTTCAGATTTCATCAGTCTGTGAAGGTGAGGTACGTCGCCGTAAACTACTGGATGCTGTGTTAATGCTGCCTTCCAGCCATTTGGGGACTCTGGCTTATTTGCTGAGGCAGTTAAAATATGTAAGTTATTTACATTATTTGAGTTTGAATTAATTAATATACTTTGTGTTTTTGCTACATTTGTTTTACTCGTAATTCTACCTATTTGTTTTTTTTTTTTTTTTTTGCTTTAGTGCCTTTTGTTAAGTATTGGATTCATCATTAAAATTTTCAATTTTTTTGCTTTTGAAAGTCACCTCCTTATAAGTTTGATTGACTGATCTTTTTGCAGTTCGGCGATCACCATGAAGGACACCATATGACTGTTGAGAATTTAGCTCGAGTTTTTGCACCGACTTTATTTCGTGAAGGCAATTTACATTTAGCAAACAAAAAGAAGAAGAAGAGTGTCCAGGTTTCAGCTTTTCCAATTTTTATAAGCTGTTCCGAAATTTAATTTCTTAGGCAGAGTTCAAAATATTTTAATTTTTAATCTGTTCTTTGTCTTTGGTTCTTTTTTTATGAGTTATCAAGGACTTGTGCACGATGTGTAAATTAAATTCTGTTCCTGTTTTGACGAGTTGATTGTAAGCGAATTGAATTTGTAGAAATTGTAGTGTTGTGTGGAAGAAGCTGAGACTGAAACATCAAAATTTTTTTGGAAATGTGTTGGCTTTAAAGGTACAAAAATTTGTAGTTTTTAGAAGCCATCATACAGTGCTATGCGCGATGACACTGAATTGAAAATTACCATTGTTAGTGAATTAATCGAGAATGCTGCAAAGGTTGGCGTCAGTTACATTTGTTCCCGAAGACCATCGGACCTAAGCTGTGCTAAAAACCAAAGTAGAAGAGCAGGTTTACAAAACAGCGCTTCTCTTCGTAGCAGCTCTGCAAGACCGTTCACTAGGTTCACTTTCCTCTTATCCTCTTATTGCGTTGGTTTTTTGCATGATTAAGTTTCTTGTTTCTTTCTGCGTTTTTTGTGCCATATAGGTTCAGTTTCACGACTGTCACCTAAAAGTTGTTAGTGTATCATCAATTGGAACCAATAAAGATAGCCTTTTTTATCTGTTGTGTACAATGTTGCAGAAATTCTCTTCCGAGGCCTATCAATAACGGGTCAGGTGATACAAAAGAGAAGAAAAGCGACAAGCTGAAATATAAAGTAAGTTGTATCTCACCTTTTCTTTTATTGATTTATATAAATCTTTTTATGCTTATAAATCTAGAGTTCATTGTGAATTCCGTTGTAACTACATTAATTTTATTTCAAAATCCTCTTTTAAATAGATTTTCTTGCTAACAAACGAGTCAGATGTGCTGTGTCGTCTGAGCGTTTGACATCTAATACTGGGCGAGTGGATTTCCAAAGGAAGGAGGTAGAAGAGATTAAGTTTTGTCGTTTTAGAATCGTGAAGGGAGAAGGTCATCTTCTACCGTGCGTGACATTTTTTCTTCTATCTCCTCAATTTCTACTAAAGTCTTGAGGAGAGCAGCCTCCCCAAGTCGGGTACTCGCTAGGCGTACGTCTGCAGATGTCATTTCTGATAAAGACATCCGGCTTACAGGAAAACAGTTACAGGAGAAATGTGAGCTCATTATGTTGTGCATTCCACATAATATGTAGTTATAGCAAACGCTGCGCAAAGTAAAATTAAATTTGGTGGATACATGTCTGAAAGAAGTAGTTAAGAGTTTTTTGGTGCTACATTTTGCGCAATGTTCAGTTTTTGCCATAATTTTCTGTTGCAGTCTCATTTTGGGTAAGGAAAAGCATTAATATTTAGACAACTTGGGTTTTCCTTTTGACTTTAAAATTTGTAATAAAGTCAAAATTTGATTATGACATTTTCTTCTTTTGTAGGGCTCTTTCTCATACTGTTGCTGCGTATTAATTGAGTTTTGCTCTAGTGATCTATTGAGGTATTTTCTCTTGTTTGTTCAAGATGCCTTTTTTTAGCTGCAGCGGGAACAAGTTCGCATAGACTTGCTGTCGATAGCAGAGGCCAGAAACATGTGGCTAATTTCGGCAATGAGGAAGAAGAAGAGCAGTCAAAGACTATTACCTTTGATAACGAGGAGGAACAGTCTGAAGACAAGTCGGTTCTAACGCTTGTACCTGACCAGTCTAATAATTCATCAGGAATACCTCAGAGGCGTTCCCGTCGAGAATCTCCTCGAAAACATCTTACTTACAACTCTCGCGTTAAACCTGTGGGTGAACCTGTCATTGGTATCAATTGGTGGCCTGCTTCTCCAGCTTTCGAACCATCGCTGAACTCTGTGTAATTAATTTACTTTAATTTTTATTATTTTGACACAGCCTTTTAAAGGTTTCCAAATCTGAATGGTTATTATCAGTCATTTTCATTCTAGGCAACACTTTCTTTTTGAAGAGTGTTTTTTGATTGTTCAGAAATGTCTTCTTTTTATTTTACACACCACAGCCAGGTATTCGAAGGAATTGAGTTGACCCCTGTCCATTTGTCACAGTTAGCTGCATAGTAGAAATAATGGGTAGTTCTGATTTACTTAGTTTTATTGCTTCATTGTATTACCATCACTCATGTTTACCTTGTATTTATCAAATTATAATACTTCATACTGACAAGCGACATCTTTAAAACATCTGTTTAAGTTCACAATTTCTGAAAATTCATGCATTAAGGATAGTTGGGTCTTATATTCTGAGACTCTGAGCATTACTTAATTTTCGCAGTGTTTTCATTTTTTTATCCAGCCGATGACGATTATTTTCTGGAAATGTATTTTTCTTGCTATGATAGACACTGTTTTTTAGGAAACATTTAAATGAGGCTATGCAAAGAAAACAGGAACTAGCTAATGCTAACGAGAATTTGCCAGAGGAGATTACCGTACAAAAGGCGACAAGGTCGAATGAGGAGGCTCTTGTATGCCAATTTTGTCGATTGCTTCTAATCATTTTTATCAGAAGTTCTCCCCCAACTGCGTTTTCTTTAGGACGCTAATCACTATGCATTGTCATTCCTTGAAGAATATGAAAAGAGCCAGGTAGGGAACGATCGACGACGGCGCCATACAGCCCCATTGAAATTCACTTCGATTTTAAAACGAAATCAGCCGAACACTATCGCGACTGGTCTGAAAAGTGTACAAGTTCGTGTGCGCGGTGAGTCTTCGGTTAACTCATCTGATTTTTCCTAAGGCAGTTCTTTTCTGGAAAAGCAAAATATTCAAATTATTTTTTTAGATAGACGAGCGCTGACACTGAGTTTTCGTTCTACTGAAGATAGTGAGTTTTACCTACTTTTTTTTTT